GAGGAAAGCGAGGAAAGCAGGAGAGAAATGCCGAGAAAGCCAGGGCGAGAGAAAGCGAGAAAAGGAGACGAAACGCGGAGGAGCGACGAAAGAGGCGCGGGACGGAGATAAACGAGAGATCAGAAAGCAGCGTCGAGAGAGAGAAGCGACGACCACACACAACACACACACACACACACAACACACACACACAACACACAGCACTACACACACACACACACAGCCACACCACTCACACACACACACACCATCACACATCACCACACACACACAGCGACACACACACACACACTACACAGCAGATCAGACTGAGAGCAGATATGAGCAGAGAAGAGAGAGGACGAGCAGAGAGACAAGAGGGAGAGAGAGAGGAGGAGAACAGAGAGAGGACGAAAGATGACGAACGAGAGAGGAGAGCATTCTGGAACGAGAGAAAGGACAATTCGTCGCCAGCGAGAGGCTATATTATATATATATTATATAATTAAACATACACTCATTCACTTCTGTCTATATATATATATATATATGTATGGGGCCTATGTATTTAATAAAAAATAAAAAATATGTATAGCATTCACATAGACGTATTACAGTCTTTCATTCTGGTCGACACTACATTCACATTCTGACCCTGCTTGCACTTTAATCGGCTTGATGCATCAGGTTTCCACATGCACCACATCACTAGTACGATGACACATTACTTTCTAGTGTTACTGCCATATTTCCTATTACTCATACAGGCATGACCGAAACTATCAAATATTTCCTGATTTGGTTATTGTATTCCCCATTCCTGACCTATTTTGAGTTTTGCGAATATTGCTGCTAACGGTAACGTGTGTACAGTTCATGTATTTGGTATTTTAAGCTGATTATAACTTTTCCCTATTAGACTCTCTCTCTCTCTCTCTTGCTCTCGTTCTCGCTCAGCCTTTCCCCATTCTTCTTCTCTCCATCTATGTCTTTCTTCCTCTCGCTCTCTTGCTCTCCCCATCTCTCTCTCGCCTATCCTCTCTCCGCCACCTTTCCATATTCTGTCTCCCTTTCTCGCTCGTTCGTTCTTTCTTTTCCCTTCTGTTTTTTCGAACTTAGTCGGGCTGCGCCTGTCCGTCTCCTTTCCCCTCCCTCTCTGCTCTTTTGCGTTCCTCTTTCTTTGTCGCCCGTGATACACGCGATTCATACGTCACCATATTTCGGATGTCTTTGCTTCTCTTGCGCAACAAGTGTGGGTCACTCTCATACTGTCACCGCTATAGAATGTTAGTGCGCATGCGCGCGTTCATGATTAGACAATATATTATGAATATCTCTTAATCCGAGCCGCAATGGATTTAGATCGCTAGTTCAGTAAAATGCTCTTTTACAACGTGAGGCGATTACCCGGCGACAGAATTTCGATACAATGTCGGCATAGTTTACGCCAGTCTGATATACTTACCGAGCTGACGACCAACAATAGGAGCGGAAGTATGGGTCGCATTGTCACGCCTGGTTCCGACGCAGTAGTCGGCTGTATCTAATACGAGCTTTCTGGGTTAGAAAAAATGTAGGGAATGAGGGCAATATTACATCGAATAGTCGTATATCGGCGTTAGAGAGGTGGAGATCGAATATATGCGTTCAATGGACATGATGTCTGCTTCCACGCGATAAAGCTAACGATGCTGTGTCGCTCAGCGGCTTCTTAATGTAAAATACCTAACGCAAAATTATTCAGTATTCTTAATGTACTTGTTTTTATTATTTTGTTATTATATTATATATATTTATCGTGATTAAATAAACAATTAAAAACCATTTCTAACTAAATTTAATAACTATAATAATGATGATGATGAAGACGACGACGACGATGATGATGATGACGACGACGACGATGATGATGATGATAATAATAATAAAATAATAATAACATTAGTAAACAACGTTATTCGTGCCTACCTAATGTGCAATATTAGGCAAAATTAATACGCAGGTTCGCATTATTCAATAATGATAATGACACATGAAATATATAATTACGCGTGAAGTTATGCGCGGGAAAAGTAACATATATAAATTTACAATTTTCTAACAACAAAACGTGGAAATAAGGAAAAAGCACGAACCGTGTGAACGGGAGTCACTCTACCGGCGCTGTCTATACTCTGACAAGTGAACGACGTAATCCACGCGGGTGTACGTACGTGGTGCCCAGCAGGTGCGTGTCGCTATAACAACGTAAAAACCGCTACTTCTGCAACCACGTATACACTTGTTTCTCGTAAAACTCGTCACCGTGTCTTCGCGTCGAAACCGTGCCTCGGGTATAGCAGCTGCTGTGCAATCAACGCGATGGAGAACGGTAACGTCGTCGTTCGTCGTCGTCGCTTTTATTATTGTTTGTATTTATCTTTCCGCTCACACAGTCGTAGCATCGCTCACGATCACGTATCTCGCTGGTTCGGAGTGAGGAAGCCGTCGCGGCAGAGTGCGGGTTTAACGCCAGCAGCGGTGCCGCTAGGCGGCTGCCGCCACGCTCTGGTTACCGGCCTGCCGACGTCAGCTTGGCGGGGCGGTACGGTCGCTACGGCGAGAACAGGGAAACTGCT